TCTTTCATTCACTTCACTCATCACAGTTCTGTCTTCTTATTGCCTTCTTCATATCCTTGACCTACACCTGACCTCATCCTAAGGTGATGCTCCCATTGTTGAATCAGTCCCCCCTTCCTCTCTTGGTCTCACTTCATGGCCAAACACCCTCTGTATTCCTCTTTAAGTCCTTTGTGAGAAGTCACTGATTCTAAAAATCCATTTTCTAATAACCCCCATACTCACCTTTACCTGAACTATTGCCTCAGGTATAACTAATCCTATATGCTATTTGGTGCTGGTCATATGTTTAAATTTGGGTGTACGTAAATCACCATGTACATTTACTCCTAAAGTACGTCTAGACTACAGGCTTTTGTCGACAGACACTTTGTCGACAGATACTGTTGACAAAGCATCTGTCGACAAAGAGCGTCTAGACTACATCCAGCTCTGTAGACAAAGCAAGCCGCTTTGTCAACATGAGAGTGTAGATGCAAAGGACAGTGTCGATGCAACAACGCCTTGTGTCAACAGAACTCTGTCGACAAAAGGCGTTATTCCTTGTAGAATGCGGTTTACCACCATTGACAAAACTGCCAAGTTCTGTTGAAGTTATGTCGACAATGTAGTCACTCAGCTGCTATTTCACGTAAGAAATTCATCATATGGTCTGTCTAAATACTCTTCCTCTTTTTTCAGTTTAAATATTTCACATCATTCATAGCTTCATTTCCAAATGCTTTGCAATTTTAATAAGTTCCATATGTCTCATACAACTTTCTACGGCTCTTATGTAGACATTACCTAATTCAATTTAGAACCGCTTTGGAAGCATTGATCTGAGTTACTCTACATGGATAATCTATTTATAAAAATGCATTTAGTATGTTTTTTTCTAGATGACCAATTGCTGTAGCACAAATAAAAAGCAAGAGTAACTATGGAAAAGATTAAACTCGGAAAAATAAAATCAGAGGGAAGAGAAACCATTGTAAAATGTCTGAACAGATTGAAACTGCAGCTGTTGTTAGAAATACTCAGATAAATAACTGCTACTTTTCTTGATGCTTAACTCGAGAGTTGATTATTCTGTCTCTGCAGACTGTGACAGAGAAACACAAACTGAATGTACCTGAGACGATGACCGAGATCCTGGATGTTTCAGATGAGGAAGGTGAGCAAATTCATTAAATTCCCTTGTTTAGTGTCTTTTACGCCATCTACAGGATAGAATCAAGCTGCTTCATTTCCTGTAATAGTGAGCTATTTAAAGGCCTTGATTTAATGGCTTGTTGGCTACAGGACTTGAATAGAGGCATTAAAGATGGCCCCAATCCAAAAACCCTGGATCCAATCTCCACTATCAAACTTCTTTATATTTCTGTAATGGTCAAGAACAGATTCTAAAGTGTCAACACTTTCGAATCTGAGAGTTTAAGATCCATATATAAAGTTCTGCAAAAGTGCATTTGTCCACTATACAGAAAGGTTTGAGACAGTGAATATTTTGGTTCAGATCCACTTCTATCAGATATGCATATCAAAGAAATAGACTAGGATCTTTGTTTAAGTGGAAACTTTTAGATAAAAATCCATATGTCTGAAGGAGGTAAAACTGTTACCACGAAGGCCTTTTTGGCACATGCAGACCACAGATTCATAGAGCATGACATAAGGTAACAACACACTAATATTGGCACAATCTCAGATTTAATCCCATATGCAGAGTGCAGGAGTGTGTTACATCATTTATCTAAATCCAAAGAAAACATCTGTGAAATTTATCTGGGATTTTTTTTTTTTACCTTTGGACAGCTTTCATTAGACATTATAGACATAAGCAAGCTAACTTGGGAGGAGAAGGGGGGGGTAAGTTTTTAATAGTTTATGAAAGAATAGTTTACACATTTCAAATACTGTGACTGCTGGACTAATGGTGAATCTACTTTTAGGTTATAATAATGGGTAGCTTCTCTTTCTTTTTCTGTCTGAAATGCTGATTAATATTACAGTAATGATATTTTATGCATAGCATATCCGTTATTGATGTGAGAGGAATTTCCCAGATTGTGGTTGCCTAAAGGATTTAGGAACCCAAGTTACATTTTAATTCATAAATGACTTAGACACTTGAAAGATTAAGTCTTATAGAAAATCAATGGGATTTAGTCTGCTAACTGCCTAGGTCCCTTTTTGAGATAGGTCTTAGGCTGCTAAATTACTTAGGAAACTTTTAAAATTTACCCTGTGTCTAAATTTGTGTATTGTGCTACGCATATTTGGGTGGTTTTTTTTGTCAATTTGCCTGTGTTTAACATGACAGGCTAGAAATCTACATGCAGTGATGGATATAGACACATCATCTATTTATATAAATGCTTCATGGCAATGTAATCAGTGCACTTGTGTCTCCACGGTTTGACTCTGCCACCTCTATACTATTTAAGCAGAACTTTAGTCCTTGAACAATAAATGAGACTACTCATGGATGACAAAATAAGGCCTTCAGTAATGCAGCGTTATGTTGAAATTTTTCTTTTCCTTTGTTCATGTAAGATACCATTCAGTCCTCTTTTAATCTGCAATGCAGAGGATGGATTTCCACTGCTATATCTTCAGGAATTACCTCCTGGGTATCCCCTTTTCTCAAGCTAACTTGTGTGTTGTGCAGCCTTTAAACACTGTGTTGATGATCGCTTCAGTGATGGGGAAGCATATAGTGGCACAGGTGCTGTTAGAAGGAGTTTTTGGAGTAAGATATACACTTTTCTGTTTCTGTTGAATTTGGTTGTATGTATTTATGTTTGTGTTGTGACAATCCAAAACTGCATAATCTGGGTGCTTAACACTGATCCATGTTGTTACTTTTGATAGCATGCCTATATGTATTTTTCTGTATGGAGAAGCCAGAAAACCCCTAGGCAATTTCACTTGTACCATTAATTATTTGGCTGCACTGATTGTGGTCTTTTGGCATGATTAATCCCCTCAGGAGTATTACCTTCAGGTTCTGGGTTTTTCTGTCACCAGCTGACAAATAGAGTTTATCAAAAAGCCAGCAGAGTGGAAATCGACTCCCCTGTACATCTCCTCTCAGGACATAGGCAGTGTACAAAGCATTTATGCCAAAGCACAAAGATTGCAGTTCTTATCACCCTACTTAAAAAAAAAGTCCATTGCTGGGGTCAAAAAGCATTTTGGGTGATATGCAAACTTGTCATCATGGGTGGTGATTCTAATAGGAAATTTAAGTAGCTGGAGGCCAAAAGGCGGAGAGAGGCTGAGCATTTTAATAACTGGACTGTCTGCAAGAGACCAGCAGTAAGGTTCCTGCATACATTGCCCTTAGCTGTATTACAGTGACAGGATATATTTCTGAATAAATAAATGTGACACACTAAACCTGCTCACTTTTAAAAGGACAGGAATACTTGAGCAAGTGAATATTTCAGAGCCCCACTGTTCTTGGGAGGAGTTAGTTATCTGGTATTTTCCTTGGGAAGCAGTTGTTTTGTTATGATCCTTTTTTGTGTTTATTGATCCAAGTTTTTATATATTCTTAAGGCCCAGAAATAATATGTGGTTGGCGTTGTATAGTACAGGATGACCCAAATATATATATATATATAGGTTGCCATCAGTATGTTTGGCAGCAAGAGTGACTTGTAAGGCAGGATTTGTGCTGTACAAACTTACAGAAGTAGAGAGTCACTTTTCTAGACGATTATGCACATGTTTAATGTTATGTGAAATCAGTGGGGCTACTCAAAGCTGTAAAGAGAACCATGTGCATAAGCTTTTTCTTTTTCCTTAAAGACAAATACTGATGAGACAAGACGCACTAGATTACTCCCCTCCCCATTTTTGGATAGTTGATGACTAATGTCATTATTAGTATTCAGCCATTACTTATGTTATATTTGTCCCACTTAGAGTAATAATAATGATAATAAAATATTTAGCACTTAATTTAGTGTTATACATGTTTAAAGATTTTCACTGAAATTAAATAATTTGTGTTTAAAAGTTCATCAAGAAAGAGATATTTTAACTGTTTTTGGCCTCATTGTATTGATAGGGGAAATGAGAAGGAAATAATTTCTCCGAAGGACTGTAGTGAGTTTGTTTCAGAAAAAGAAACTCCTAATTCTCAATTCTGTATCCATTGGAATATACCATGGTATCATTTTGTATTTTGACATTAAATAAAGTTCATTTTTGTTTGAAGAAAAGCGATAAGAAAACCTAAAAGGCCATGGTATAATTTAATGTGTGTAGAGGAAATAGTCCCAGAAATCAGCCTAGAATAACAACACCCAAAGGAAAATAACCATTATATAATAAATTCCTATTGCATACTCTCTAACAAATTACAAAAGATTTGATCCCATGTTTGCTTTAGAAACTAGCTTGTGTAGTCATTGTGTCATTCTTTTAAACATCAACAAATAATGATCTAAAGAAGAGGGTCATCAAGATAATAAATTTGTTTATGTATCGCTGACAATAAAAATAGCTTAATCGTGTAGGCTGAAAGTAAAATGTGTCCTGTACATCTATATTCACCGTAATATGCATTAAGTCATTACATATTTTAATCACTGAAGGCCAATTTGTTCCATCTATATACTCACATAGAGTAGTCCCTTACTCTCAAGTAGTCCTGTGGATTTCATACTTACCCATAATAATAATAATCATGTGAGAGTAGGGTTTCATATCCCTTCATAAACATGGATTAGGGGTGAATTGATTTCATGTAATCTGTAGAACTAACTCATCACTGAAGCACAAGAAAAATGTGACTTTAGATTCCATAAATCAGCTCAGAGTTAATCCATAACCTAATCTGCCAGATTCTTGATTAAAAGAAAAGTGGATTACTAGGAATTTATAAACTGAAAATCCTATTTCTCATAAGAGTAAGACAGCAGTAAAAAAAGGTTTCTTCATTCTTTTTTTGTAGCATACACTAAACCTGAACATGTGAAATAGTCAAACCATTTAATAAACATGGCTCAAATATTGTCACATGCAAGAAAAATTGACAAGAGCAAGTGGGATACTCCTGGGTATTTTTGGGGAAAGGGAACACTCAAAGAGGAATCAGCAAACCTGGGTTTTGTGCCAGGATCTGCCTGTGACCTGTTAGGTGACTTTTTGGGAAGTCACTTCATTTTCTTGTGCCTCAGTTTCCCCAATTGTCAGTTGGGATTAATGATACATTCCTTTGTATAGAACTTAACAATCTGTGGGTTGAATGGTCTATGCAAGAGCAATATTATTATTTATTGAGTCATCTATTTCAAGGCCAGAAGGGATAATTGTGATAATCTAGACTGACATTTCATATTACACAGGCTATAACTTCCCCAAAATAATTTCTTCTGAAATGAAGCACATTGTTTGAGATTTCTCAGTTAGCCAGTTTTCAATCCAGCCAATTTATGCCATGTGAATTTTATACTGATAGTATTGTCTCCATGTTCAGCTGGGCTTGGCAGGGAATTACAGTATCTGTGCATGGACAGCCTCTCTTTCATCAGTCTCTCTGTGTGTGGATCATAGAATCATAGAATACTAGGACTGGAAGGGACCTCGAGAGGTCATCAAGTCCAGTCCCCTGCCCTCATGGCAGGACCAAATACTGTCTAGACCATCCCTGATAGACATTTATCTAACCTGCTCTTAAATATCTCCAGAGATGGGGATTCCACAACCTCCCTGGGCAATTTATTCCAGTGTTTAACTACCCTGACAGTTAGGAAGTTTTTCCTAATGTCCAACCTAAACCTCCCTTGCTGCAAGTTTAAGCCCATTGCTTGTTCTATCCTCAGAGGCCAAGATGAACAAGTTTTCTCCCTCCTCCTTATGACACCCTTTTAGATACCTGAAAACGGCTATCATGTCCCCGCTCAGTCTTCTGTTTTCTAAACTAAACAAATCCAATTCTTTCAGCCTTCCTCAATAGGTCATGTTCTCTAGACCTTTAATCATTCTTGTTGCTCTTTTCTGGACCCTCTCCAATTTCTCCACATCTTTCTTGAAATGTGGTGCCTAGAACTGGACACAATACTCCAACTGAGGCCTAACCAGCGCACAGTAGAGGGAAGATAATATGTACTACTACTAATGTATTTTTTCTAAGCCTTGTTTATATCTGTGTGAAAGAGG